CACCTCTCCTTCAAAATGAAGAGGCTGTCTGGAAATAACACAGCTCTGTGGAACTGACCACGTACAATGTAATCATAGTTTGGTGCATGTGTGTACTACATGCCTACTGAGGCAAGCACACAAAGTCATCGAAGATTAGTTCACAAGCCCAACAATGGTTCATTGGCAGTGACCAGCTCCCTCTCATTCTCCCAATGGTAAGCTTGACCAGGAGCAGCCCCAGCTGCCACTCAGTCCTGGTGCTGGTCCAGTGTTTCTTTCTCTTTCGTGTGGGATCTTTGTCTTATGTTGATTCTCTTCTGCGCCCCATTCAGTTTTATGCCAGTTTTCCACATAACCCTGTTAGAGATGTAATATTAATTACCCAGAAATCTCAGTCTGCAATTGCTCCAACATCATTCTTAAATGAATACAGACTTCATTGCATGGATTGCTATTACTTCAGCTACTTTTATTTCTCTTTTTATTGCACAGATCTGTGCAAATAAAAGTGTTTCAAAAGGTATAGCTGTAAATGTGCTCTGCTAAATTCCCTCTGCCTTGACATGCCTGTGAACTGTTGCTACAAAATGCCTGCTGCATTTTAATGCCTTTCTCCAAAGGCAACATGATATGGTAGAAAGAACACCGGCTTTGGAGTCCCACAATTCCTGGTCCACCATTCAACAATTGGGCTACTTAACCTCTCTGAACCTTGGTGTACTCATTTTAAATTCTCAATAACAATGTCATCCTACAAATTTGATTGAGGATTAAATAAGATGAAGTATATAAAGCATAAATATTATATTTCAGGTATTATAAGAACTTATTAATAAGTATTAGTTTCTTTCTTCCAGCCTGAAGCACTAAGGGGAGGAGACAATAGCATGCACAAATGAACATTCATTTAAAATGTACTTCAGTTGAGTTAATTATGAACTAGAAAAAATAAGGTTAGATTTCAAAGGAGCAGATAATGCCTTACTGTGATATTTATTACATATGGGCATATATTACTGCAGGAGGCTATGAAGGAAAAGACATGGTTTCTGAACTTCATTATAACTTTAAATTCTGTCCAGCTTTGAAGTGTTAGAAGAAGAGATTGTTTAACTACACATCTGTCTTTAAAGGCATAGGCAATCACTTTTTTACAAGAAATCACTATAATATATTTCTGCTTTGTTACACTGCTTAAATTCATTTAACATTACATTTCAACACATTGAAAGTGTAAGAGTGGTATTGATCACCTGCATATGGATACAGCTGTAATAGGATTTTTTTTATAAGAATAACTCTATCCAGTGAACAATTAATTAATACAGAAAGCCTAATTTTTTAACTAGCAACTTGAAGATGGGGTTATTGATGCTCTGCCTGATTTTATATGGTTGCAAGAGTATTTGAGTTACATCATAATCTGATGTCACGGCTGAAGCTATTAGGCAGAAGATTCCTTAGAATCATTACTGATAAGTTCCATAAAGCCGAGAAGTAGACCAGATAACATGTAATAGAGGAAGGGAAACAGGAGTCCTCAGAAAGTTAAGTCCTTAATGCTATCTTTAACTTTCATTCTGGTCCAGTATGTTGTTAGAGGACCCAGTCTCTAAGATATAAACAAAATGGAGGAGACAGAGTTTGGAAGGCAGTACACAATGGTGGTTAGACTAGTCTCTGAAGTGAGACAGACTTTGTTACTCTATTAGCCATAAGTGTAGATTCTTCATCTCTATGGAGCAGAGCAATAAAACCTATCTTTCAATACTTACTTGATATTTTGAGATATTTGCAGCATCTGTTACACAGGAATTAAAAATAAACTCAAGTGCCAGATTCTGTGGATCAGTCATAGCTTTCTGAAATTCTCAATTGAGAATGATTCTAAGGCCATATGTAGGATCATTGAGAAAGAATGCTGTAATTGATTAGTGATGTCTGCTTTGGGCAGAAAGTGGAATCAATAAAAGTCTGTATCGATATATTTGCAATATAAGTGTTCTATAAATTATAACTATTATGATTATTGCTGCTATTATGACAAAGGTATTTTTATTTGCCTCTTCAAATTTCTACATCCTCAACACAAAATGGAATGAATTAATTGCTTTGGTTAAAATGGCTGTGTATATCATTTTTATTGATGTGATGGTAAACTTGTATGTGTTATCTGCAGAAAAGAGCTAAAAAAATGAAACCAGAATTTTTTTTTGTTTTGAAGCCAGAATTTTCTATTCCTAATTTTGTTTTATAAAACACCTACTTGGGAAAAAAATTGATACAGGTATGAAAAGTAGAATGGGAGTTGGAGAGAAAAAAAAGGAGGTAATGTTGGGTTGTAGTCCCAGGTTATCATGACAGGTTTGCATGGGTCCCATATCTCCTTTAAAATATTCATACAAGGGAGATGATACAGCATGTTTTGCACTTAGATGGTCCATGACTTTCTAGACTTTTTTTCTTGTTTTTTCTCTGAGGCCAGATTTCTTTTCTGGGCAAATAGTCATGTTTCCTGTCAGCCATAGGAGGTTTTCTGAGTCCTAAACAGCTGATTTGGTATTCTTGCCCCATTCTCTCTATCTGAGAACTGAAATCTGATCAAACCCATATTTTTAAATTTATGTATTTATAGGCCTATGGAAGAATAGTTGCAGTCTATGATTTTTTTTTTCCCCCACCACAAATGTAGGGAAATGGTGGGGTTTTTTTAAAAAACAGTGCCTTATCAGTTTCTTTTTTTCTTTGTTACTGATGACTTCATTCTGCTTAAATTCAATGCTTCAGTTTCTTTAGGTGAAACTAATAGATTATATATGTGATGTTTGCATTGTGTTGATTGAACTTATCTGGGGAGTTTGAGCACAGCGCATGAGTCGCAAAAGCCTGCACATTAAACACAGGCAGGGTAGTCCACTCATAGCGCTCAAGAGCGAGGGAAGCTGTTCAAAACGGAGCTGTGCTGTTTTCCTCCCATCATTCAGAAGAGCATATGAGGCCTGCCATTTTTTTTCTTACTGTTATCTTTTCCAAGTGCTCAAGGAATACTTTTATTTTAAAAAAGAGTGTAGAAAAACAAGACAGAATTAGAACTATTTTGAGAGTTTTAAAATACTTTTTGAAGAAAAATAAATGTACGTGATCTGTAAGGGGTTGTGTTTTGTTAATCAAAGTCATCAGTTACTTAGTGTCTGCAGAGCGTGGAGGAAGTGCGGAACCCTGTGTTAATTTTGTAGAGAGGTTGTAAAACCTTGGCAAGTGTTCCTGCTTCCAAGTCACTTGCAATCTACTTTGGGAAGAATGCTTTTCCTCCAAATCATGTTTACTCCCCGTTTTTTTATTTTGATAGTTTACAAGTATATAATTTTTAAATGTTTGAACAAAACAGGAAATGACCTCTTTCTATTGCTTTCAGAGATCTAATTTTATCGGATGTCTCATTTGAGCTTAAAATTCAGTTATAATATTTGGGGATCTTTGGGGCATGTAAAGCTCTTCACACTGGGGCCCCTACCTGCTGTTCTCAGTCACACCTGCCTTTCCCTGCTCCCTGTCCCGTACCACGGACCACGGCAGTAATTCTCACATACCCATGAACATGAGCGTTGTTATGGTTAACAGGTTGTTACAAATTGATAAAGCACCCAAATTTGCAAGTGATACACTTGTCATTTACTAGAGTAAATTCAAACTATCCCTAAAGTCACCAGTACTCACTTTTATTCTAATTTGCTTCCTACATGAGAGAGGGGAAAGAGCAAATATCACTTGATATGTATGTAAAGCAGCACAGAAGAGGTTGAGGACCACTGCTTGCCCCCAAATGACTTATTTGCATTCCCCCAAAGCAAGATGCTTTCTGTTCTTTGCATTGCCTTTCCCTCTACCTGGAATTCCCTAATCTCACTTGTCCAGCTGTTGAGTACCTGTGCATCCTTCAAGACTCACCTAAAGTGTCACCTCCTCTACGGAGGCATCGGGGATCTTCCATGGCCCTGCTCCCACCTTGTCAAAGTTTAAGCAGTCTGTTCCCACAATGCCTGTGCAGACCTCTGTTGTAGCCCCTGTCACAATTAATTGTAGTCTTCTGTACCCCTTTTGGTCCTCTACCTCCCAGACTGTGCTTTCGGCAGACAAGGACTATGACCTGCTCATTTTTACTTTCTCAGACCCTAAGGTCTGGCACAATAGGGCACTCAGTTATGCTTCAGATGAACCAAAGAAGTTGAACAATTGTTGAGATCTGCCTATCACTCTCCTCTGGTTTCCAAGCCCTGAACTGTGTACATGATGTTGGTTTTATTGAAATGTCAGGACAAATAAAAACTAAAAGGGAGCCACTGGCCAATCAGTTTGGGGTTGGGTAGATGAGTCACTGGAGAAGCTGTAATTCCTGAGAGGAGGAAGTGGCTAAAATAGAGAGAGGAGGACCTTAGATGACTAACCAAGATGCTACATTCTACTACCACCAGCTTTTTATTTTTCTTTTTACTTCTTGGCATGGCTTCCACCTTCTTTTCTTTCTCTATGCCCAGTCTGTTCCTGTATATTGACACGTACCTCACCCCCACTCCAAAAATTCATGAGTCTCATTGACACGCACTGGCACATGCCAGCTCTGTGTTACATGTAATCTTCAGGTCAAGTGACTGGTTTCAAATAGGCAACAGAAAATGAGATATCCCCATTAAAATGTAACCAAAGTCTGTGGGTATGATTATAAGAAAAATGAGATGACGCTCTTAATTGCTCTAAATGTCAGGATTTTATCTTACCTTGTCACTCAAAAGGCATTTATTAATCGCAAGTCAGATGTCCTGACCCTTGGAGCTAAAGGTATGCATGTAAACACTGTTTTTTTGTTCATTTTTTTTACTGGTTTCACAGCTTTCCTAGCATATTTGAAGAACATTATTGAATCTTCTAAACATAGATATCAGCTTCTTTAATAAGAAGATCAAAAAGTGAGTTTCCAGGATCACAGACACTGTGTGACTGTGTTTGTTTGTATCCTGTAGTGGCCGTCCCATGAGCGGAAGTGCTGAACGCATCCAGAAGTTGCGGAAGGAGTATTATCAGGCTCGGAGGGAAGGTTTTGCATTATATGAGGACGACGAAGGAAGAACAAGGCCGTCTGATTATGACCTTCACTGGGTAAGCCCATGCTTGTTTTCAACCATTGAATTCATCTTTACTGAGATTGTTTAGAGCAGAAAAACATGGCCAAGAATGTTCTCTACAGATCAGGTTATATTTAGGTTACTTGGGTTTTATAGCTATATGAACATTACCCTAACCACAGCCATCTTCTCCCACAGAAGTTGTTTATAGAGACCACACTAATGCACAGTGGTTCATTTTAATTGCTCTCATATTTACTCCCTGTTGGACTTGGGTTGGAGCAGATGTTCGCTATTTTAAAGAAGACAAGGAATCTTTGTCATCATCTACTGAGCCTTAGTCCTTACCCTCCGTCTCTTGGGCCTCAGACATCTGGACAATCATTAATAGAACATGCAACGTAAGTCATCTCACCTGTGGAAAATGGTTATTAGAAGTAAATTTCAGAAGGTTTATCTTCAGAGATATCAATTGTATATCGCATCTCAACAGTTCACATTTTGCTGCTCTTACCAGTACACAGATCATTTTAGTATGAGATAAGGGCATGTTTTGTGTTAGAGGGTGCTCTTTGCCAAATCCTTCAACATTCGGGAACAGAAACGAATATTGTGACCTCTAAAGAGATGATCTTGGATTTTTTTTAGAATAGCATGATTAATTCTCCTGTCTTTTTCAAGACAGCAAGGCTGTACTTACAAAGTGCACTTGACTCTGGAGTGTCCACAAAAATGCCCCAGAAGAGGGTGCTTAGAGTTTGATTAAAATCTGTGTCACCTACTTAGGACAGTGCCTGACACTGAGTTCTGGTGTTCAATAAATGTTAGCTGTCCTTGCTAACATTGCTGTTGGAGCAGAGCTGTATGTGGTAATAATAACATCCTCGCTGTGAGTCAGCTCTCACCCCCTTTGATGATTACTGCCTCCTACCACAGTTTTTAGTGCTTTTTTTGAGAACCACATAAGGAACTCTCCTATCCCTGGTGGCCACTAAAGACAGCAGCTCTTTTGAAGGACAAATCTATTAAAGAGAAGTTTCCTTTTTTGATGTTCACACTCCTATTTGTGCTCACGAGGTCAAGATTGGGGGAGCAGGGTCCAGTATGAGCTAATTCCCTCTAGTTTTCACATCAGTGCTGTGACCTCTCATGTGTGACACTCACCTCTTTCACAAGGGTTGTTTAAAAGTCAGTTTCAGCACCTGCTACTGTTGTGGAGAGCAACTGAAACTCTTGGCCCAGTAGATTATTCCACATATGACAGAGTTTAAAAAACGAGTCAGAAATGCACAGGAAGTGTTGGCAGTCTCCAACCAAATGGCTTCAGCCTCTTACAGAGATAGTCGTCCTGTGACTACAGATCTGAACAAACAGCTATTTATTGGTTTTATTACAGATGTTAGGATTAAACAGAATGACATTTACATTGATGAGACAATGGGCCGCTTAGATTCTCAGCACAGAAGAGAAAGATTTCCACAGAATAACAATGTAGATAACGATTCACTTTATTTCAAACTTAATTGAGATCGACTTACTGACTTTGATGAGAGACTCTGCTCCCTCGATCAAGCAAACAAGCAATAAAATAAAGTTGTTTCCACCATAACCAACACAGAACTCCATGCCCAGTGCATTGAAAGGCCCTCCATCTCAAAACCACTATGAGCAAAATAAGACAAATAATTTCAGATTAAGCAGTCCTGGCTTTTTGATAATTATTTTATATGATCTCCTTACAGCAAACTGAAAGGATAAATATGCTTAACCCACATGAGAATGAAGTTTTTGATCTTCACCAAACCTGAGCTAGATAACTACACATGTGGGTCCCTCCTATCTTAATGATTCTATTTTTGATGCCAAGCCAAAGTGTAACCAGACAAAACAATCCAGTGAGTAAAGAAGTACCTCTATTTTAATTTGTGTTTCCCATGATCAGATTTGTTGAGTGTTGCCAAGAGTGACTGATTTTACGTTTCCCAGACAATTGGGGACTAAGGCTTCCCCAAAGGGATACTTGGGAAATGTGCTGTCATAAAAGACGAGTGCTCTTTGTGATCGCCTGAGATACTCCAAACCAGGGATTAGCATCTCAGCATTCTTTCCTGTCCTTTCCCCAAGCCAAGGAAAAACACTAGTGTCTTTTGTCCGGTTTAGCCTCAGAAATCTCACTGTTGTCTTGCTACTTTTGTAGAGATCTAGGAAAGCAAGGTTAGAAAGTTAACATTTCATTCCTGTGAGTCAGCCAGACCCAACAAGGCAGCTTTTATGACACTGTGGTTCCTAGATCGGGCTGGCCTTCAACATCACTTATTAAAGTCTGATCAACAATCCGTGAGGGAGGTAAGTAGAGCCCAAGAGAGGACCCCCAGGTGCTTCTCCAGCTGTTCATCAACGTTTCTGATCTGCAATTTTAAAAATAGGGCATTGATTCCAATTGTTTCAGTAAACACCAAAGCAGTTCAACTTCTCTAACAAGATCATTACATGGACCAGCATCATCAAAAAATACTTTCATGGACTCAGAATTCCCCAAGTCCAGTACCTCAGCTTGAGAGGCCTGACCAATGTTCCCCGGAGTCACATTATACTGGGGAACTTCTGAACTATCGAGAAGGAAGTTAGGAAGACAAGTTACCTAATAACTACTTTTAAACTAGTTTTGAAATAGGCCAAAAAGAATGTAAGAATGCTCACAAAAATCTTCAAAGCCAAAATGATGAAAGCAATCGCTTGATTATATGATCTCTGATTATTTTTTAAAAGAAAATATATTTTTGTCAATGAGACTAATATTCTTTCTTGAGCCGGCCTTGGGCTTTCTGGATCTTTCCAGGCCATCTCGTTGGTAGGTGTTTCCTGTATCACACCTGCCCAGTGGCCCAGAGCTGAAGTCTTCCACCATTCTCTTGGAATCTCACTTACTCTCACATCATTCTCTTTTCCTTCTCTTTTCTCTATGTCTCTTATTCAATGTTAACTAATATTTGCCCAGACTTAGTGTAGGCCAGGTGCTGGTAACAAGAATATAATATTATCTCTACCTTGGAGAAACTCACAATCTATCCACAAATACAGACATGTAAGCCAAAACAAAAAAAGGACACTAATAGAGGTGAGAAATGCTATACTATAAAATGGCATTAGCGTCTAAATGAGCTCAGAGAGATAGCAATTAATTCTGTTGGCGACAGGGTGTGCAGTTAGGGGTGCTGGGAAAGCGAGAGAGCCCATTTGAGAGTTGTCTCAGCAGACACACTTTGTTCTTTCTCTTTCAAACTTGGTGTTTTTCTTTTCCCCAAAGGAGCTCCTGATTTATTCACCTCATTTGTGTTAAAATAAATGAATACACACAGATTGCAAGATTTGTAAATATGGACATGAGACCTTAAAAATCTTTTCAGCCAGTCTGTTTTGTAGCTGTTTTCCCATCTAGGCTCTGAAAAGCTGGAAAAAAAAACAAGTTGAGAGCATTTCAATGGCTGCAAGGGAAAAGGCCTGGCGAGTTTTTATAGGCCCAATTAAGTAAGCATGGTATGCTAGCTGTGAAGTGTTAATTTTTGCCAAAAGAAAACATAATACCTGTTATCTGCTGGTATTTTATTTTCTGTAAAACTTGTTAACATTGTCACCGTCCTCTGGCAATAAGCTGGGTGTTTTGTTTTGTTTTTCATTAGCAGATAAAGATTATCCTCTTATTTAACAGCAACATGAATATCCTATAAGTAATTTCAGAAAAGAGATGGCTCTAGAGTTTTCTAAACATATTAGTACCTTTATTATTGTCTTTTTTCAAGAGCTGTGTAGACTATATCATCCCTCCCCTCCCCGCTTTTTATTTTTTAGCTCTTTGGGTAAATTAGAAGAATGTTTATCTATAGGAGGGGTTTGTAGACACATGGATGGGATGGAGGTATGCTAGTTTCCACTGTCATAAAAGACATGGTAATTTATCTTTCTGGCAAAGGGATTGGCTTAGGAAGGTAACGGTTGGATGAGTAAATGAAAACATTCTGAAAGATGTGTTCACCCAATTATGAAGATGGTCTAGGAACCAACTTGAGGGGACGTTCTTGGCAGCTGTCTGGATGATGAAAGACATATCCGGTGAATTCTGCAGTCAGAGGAAAGGGAGAACAAGATGCTGAGATCATGCTAACCATCTTGAGAAAGGGATTTGGGAGGGAATGTGTAATAGCCACACAAGTATTAAAACCAGCAGAAGGTCATTTTTCTAAACATGAGACATAAGAGAACTGAGCTCCTGCTGTCAGTGGGCCAATACAAGCCTAGAGACTGGTCTGTGTTTTCCTTCTCTGCTCCTTAAAAGCATCTGATAAAAACTAAGGACGTCGATAAACAATTTAGATGAGTCGGTAGCTCTTAAATTGCAAGGAACAGAAACCTGATTCAAACTGGCTTATGGCAATGTTGTTGGCTTCTATGACTTTACAGTCCATAGGCATATCTGACTTTAAGCAGAGCTGGACCCAGTTCCTCCAGACAGGCCAGTAGGAGTCTTTCTCCATCCCTGGCTTTGTTATTCTTTCTGTAGGCACCGTTCTCAGGGGGCTCCCCTACATGGTAGCAAGACAACCATCAGCAGATTCACCCCCCAACAACTCTATAGAAAGAGATGGTCTCACCCCAGTCCACCTAGAAAGTCCTAGAACTGATGTTCAAAGCAATACCCAGTAGCTTATGGACTCTGCCTGGGTCACATGTCCACTTCTGAACTCGTATAGCCAGAAAGATGCAGTACTAAGTCACAAGGCCACCCCTCAGAGCCAGAAAGTAGAATCAGACCTACTAAACTCCATGAACGAGTGTAGGTGAAGAGGTAATCCCCAAAGGAAGATCAACGTGCTGTTCACAGGAGAAGGAAGATGGATGTCAAGGACAATTAGGACTTGTCTACTATAATATCTAGTTCTAGTAACAATATAAACTTTCTTCATCTTCTTAGATTTTCAAGGAAAGAGAAAGAAAAGGCCTTTCCCTTCATGTGTTTTCTTGTTTGTCATTAGAAAG